TGTTGAATTTTGGGTACAAAAAGGACATCAGGAATAAACTTTGTACCTGAGAAACTAGTTATTGCAACAATCCACTTTCCTTTTTGACTGAAATATAATCACCATTGCCTATTCTGACTTTGGTGATGTTGGTTGGCTTTAAATCTTTGAAAAGCTACCTGTCATTGGTCATATGATTTGTGCAACCACTGTCAATCAACCAACTCCTACTCTCTTCGCTGCTTGCAAAATACGTGGCCACAAAGAGTTGATCTTCCTCCTCCTCTTGATCAGCAACCTTAGCTTCTTCCTCTTGCTGCTGTTTTCGCTCTTGCATATGACTGCTTCATGCCCCATTTGATTGCACTTGATGGATTTAGCATCAGGTCTCTGCCAACATCTGAATGTAGGGTGACCCATTTTGCCACAATGCTGACAAGGTGGGTAAATTTTCTTTTCACCCTTTCCTTTGTTGTAATTAGTTGCATTGCTCTAACTGCTGCCTGGATGATTCTTCTTGTAGTTTTTAGCTTGTTGGCTCTTGGCTAGAAGAGCACCTTCAACAGTATGATCTTCCCTCATCAATCTTCGCTGCTACTGGCCTTGGAGAGCATGTAGCACTTCTGCAAAAGTAATTTTAGACAGATCTTTTGTGTTCTCCAACGAAGCAATAAATGCTTCATACCTCTCTAGCACTGTTACTAGAATTTTCTCAACAATTCTGGAATCGGCAAAATTACCGCCCAGTAACTTTATCTTGTTAGCAATGCCCAACAATGTGTCTGAGTATTCCCTGATTGTGTCAGACTCTTTCATCCTTTGAAGCTCAAATTCCCTCATTAAGTTAAGCACCTGCATGCTTCGAATTCTTTCATCTCCATCATATTCCGCCTTTAGATAGTCCCAAATTGTTTTTGCCGATTTGAGAGTCATGACCCTAGTAAAGATGGTTGTAGAGATACCAGCAAAAAGGCATGATTTTGCCTTTGCTTTTCGATATTTTTTTCCTTATGATTCTTGATTTGGGCCATGGTGGGATTGTCCGGCAGTGGAAATACTTCGTAATCCTCTTCTACAGCTTCCCAAAGATCCAAAGCCTCTAGGTAAGCCTCCATTTTGACGGCCCAAAGATCATAGTTTTCCCCATTGAAAACTGGAAGTACTGCTTGGGAAAAACTTGTTTCAGAATCCATTCTATAGGTCCCGTAAGAAAAGGGCTTTTGATACCAATTGTTGGAAATTTTCAAGAGAAAATAAAAACAATATTTGCTTGACAGAGAACAAAAACATATATTTAAGGAGAAGACGAAAAACTGATCTATATTAAAACCAGAAACATTACAATTTATAGAGCTTAAAGAATAACTACCCACTAACAGTATGTTCCTAGAAATATGCCATGAAAGTAAATAGAGATAACAAAGCACCTAAAACTTCCTAACTGACACCTTAAGACTAGGAAAGCAACAACAAATAAAAATAACATAATCAGAACATGGGCATGTTTCAGTCCTGAAGCATTTTCCTAACATGTATTTTATTTTTGCCCCCTAAAAGCAAATCCTAGCTCTGCCACTGTTGATAGGGTGAAGTATCTTGTAGTGAAGGTGTTTTTAGAAGCAGTGAAATGGACTAAAGCTTTGTGGGGGGGGGGGGTCATCATGTATATCTCAAAGGTAGCTAAGAGAGGGGAAATGGTTCTATGGGCACAATAACTCTATTTTTTTAGAGTAATAGCTCACGAATATATTGGATGGATAATGCTCCTTCAACGGATTAAAGGGTAATATATAAGCGGAACAAATGAAGGGTCGGCTTGGCTCAGCGGTAAGCTTGCTTGCCGTGGTGTGTCAGGTCGCGGATTCGAATCAGCCTCTCTGCAAAACGCAGGGGAAAGACTGCCTAGAGTATTCCCTTCCCCAGACACTCACGAAGTAGGTATTTGAACTGGGTCGACCCTTTATAAGCGGAACAAATATTCTCAAATTACTCGAAAAAGAGTCATAACTCTTTTGTCCAGTGACATCGCTATTGTGCTTGAGGTAGTGTACCACCAATGTGTAAGAGGTGAGTTGTATATGTTGGATCGAGCGTTTACCACTAGGCCAAAAGCTATATAGCTATTAGTCATGGAGCAACTCTTTCTACTTACCGCTATCAGTCCAAGTGCCATGATTTGATCTGACTCTGACCACACACTAAGTCTTGCCAAGGCAGGATGTTGACCTCACAAATAGTACATTGGGATGATAGATTGTCTATGATGGTCTAAAAATCTTACTTTAGGTTAGTAGGAAAATACCCCGTTAGATAGACTTGTAAGAATCGGCCCATATAATTAGGCCAGTAAGACTGGTCAATACCAGCATTAAATCTAAGGGATATATACTTCTGCAGTTGCATAATAGGAACTTTTTTTTTTGCAGTTCAGCCATCAATTGCAACGCTTCTTGATTTTATTTTATTTTTGGTTTTCTCTCTCCTAATGTCCTATAATTATTCTGTCCGCGGGAAGAGAGAGAACTTCTCCCGTAGAAGGAGAAGTTACAAGCCGTAAATCTAATTAAATTTTTCCATGCGTTAGAGTTTCTTGCAGGCCTAGAAAGTCTTCCTAATCTACTGTCATGCACTCTGCAAACTGGACATTTATAGGAAAATATAGAAATACAGGTTTGCGGTCTCAGCACATGTATAGAACATGTCAAAGCTTAAATTTAGGAAATTTGATTAATTTATCAGAATCTTTAACAAGTAAGATTACCATTGTAACCAACTATTAGCAACATGTCAAATGTTAACCATAAAAAACAAAATAAAAGTTGTTGTATGGTGAGCACAGAGCGAACTATTCTTTCGCCTTTTACTAAAGAATCTCATTTAGATGGGTGTGAAACACTCAATAAGTCATGAGAGTAATTTCAACTGCAAATGTAGTAACAATAAATTATCCAAGCACGAGGATTCATTGATGGGATCAATGCCAGATAAATATTCATTCAGGACTTAAATATGCATTGGTTTGGAGTGCCCACCAAGAAATATAATCAATGCACAATAAATAAATAATTTGGTTACTATATTCATTCTTCGTTCATGTACTTTCTACTTTTTTTAAACTTTTAAAATTTCAATACATATATGTATCATTTAGAATTATTTAAGAACGTCAATAATTATTTTTTTAAAATAAATAGTCTGCATGAAGTGTAGCTAATTATCAAATTTTAAATTAGTTCCAGTATTAAAAGTGATTTTGCTTGAAGTAACATTCTTTTTACTTTGGTTAAAACCGATTATATTATTTTAACAAATCATCCAAATTACTTGTAGGCGAATATTCTAAAGTACATTATTATTGTAACATATACACTCCAAGGAGATTATTATATTGATTTTTCTTATACTTTGAGTTAATTGTATTTATATTTTTTCTTAGAAAAATTATGTTGATCTCTTTCATTTATTATTTTTGAAGAGATTTAGTGTATGATTACGTTGGTACATAAAAATAAGAAAAATGTGAGTAATTTCTAGAAAGAGAATAATATCAAAGTGTGAAAATTAAAATACATAAAATAAAGGAGATAGGTATAATTTTTAAACAAAAAATATAATTATAATTAGTATCCACCTCTGAAGAGGTCAATATAACTGTACACACTTAAAATAAGAGGTTAAAATATTTTAAATGTCATGTAAAATGTATTAAAAGAAGAGTGATGTTTAGTTTTTTTTTATTTAATATATTTCTATTTGTAAGGGGGTTATAATTTACGTAGTGCCAAATGCAGAGCCTAGTTTTCATTTTCGCTCGTCCGCTAAAAGAGTAAAAGTAAAAGGTCAATCTGCCCGAGTCGACCTTGTGCTGTAAGGTATAAGAATAATTTTATATCTTTGTAGTGTTGAAATTTTTTGAAATATTGAAAGTTTTTAATATAATAAATACATCTTATTTCTATTCAAATTTTTATTAAATGTTCAAAAAATATTTTAAAGAATATATCTAAACTTGACGTACTATTTTTTGTGGGATTAAAAGTACAACATTCACTCCTCTTCCATTTCCTTTATTCTAGATTCACACTCATCCAAGAATCTCCAAAAACTGGACAGAAAGACCTTTCTCCTCGTTTCACATCTACTCTTGCATGCATTTCTGTGCTTTTTCACCTTAATGGATTTTTACTTAGGTTTAAGTCAATACTTTTTTTACTACTATATAAATGCCATTCTGAAGAAAGACTTCTCTATAATAAAAAAATACAGTGGTATAACCGAAGTCCTTGGAAACTTCTGCATCTGCCTTGCAAGAAGTGCAAAATTCCCAATATTAGACAGCAAGTACCTATGCATGAGCACTCATTATGCCATTTGTCTAGCCAGATATCGTTTTCATTTTCTTTTTGGTTCATGATTAATAATTATATATTTCCTTTAAAGAATTTCATAATAATTTAAAAGAACTTAATAGATTTTATTTAAAAAAAATTATTAACGACTACATCAAAGTATTAATAAATAAAGAAAAAATTGTGAGTCATTTTATGAGAAAGATAAATATAAAAAGATTAGACCTACATCTTTATTTTTTTTAGTGAGACTTATACTTTTTTATATCTATCTCTCTCTTAAAAAAATTTAAATTTATATTCTTTAAAAAATCACATCTTGCCCATAAATAAATGTATAGCACTAGTAATATATTAACATAGTATTTCTCAATAGTCAAATCGAATTCCCTCTTTTCGGATCACTCTTCTTCAATTCTCCTGTCTCACATAGCTCTTTCCCGAGTTCACTCTCCTTCCAACGTCCTTATCCAGCGCTGGATAGTACTAGTAGATAGTGAAATAATATTTATTTTTTCATAATTTTTGTTTATATGTGAACAAAAACCGCAGAGAATCTAGGCATGAACCCCTATAAATGAACCTCTCCATGACTCACATAAGACCAACATCACTTCCTCTCTCTTTCTCACTCTCTGAATTAGTTGCTTCCCCCTTCTATACAAAGCAACAATGGGTGTGATAATGTTGCTTCTCTTAGCAAGTTCTTTCACTGTGTTTGCTTCTCCTACACCACCCCCACTTCATTCTCCACCCCCTCCGTTTCACATACCGGTTGACCCACCGCTTCACGCCCACTCTCCTCCACCACCTCACCCTCACTCTCCTCCTCCACCTCACCCTCACTCACCTCCACCACCGTCCCCGTTTCACCCACCGGTTGAGCCACCACTTCACGCCCCTCGTCCACATTACCACCACCACCACCACCCACCGGCCCATGCTCCTTTTCACCCTCCTCCTCCTCCTCCTCCTCCTCCTCCTCATGTCCCATTCAAGCCCCATGTTCCCCCACCTCCTCCCCATTTCGCTGTTCATCCACCGCGTCCCTTTCTTAGACTCTTGAAGGAAGTTCAAGGCGTTGTTTATGTTAAGTCCTGCAAGTATGCTAACTTTGACACTCTCTTGGAAGCCCCACCAGTACTTGGTTTGTCTCAACTCCTAAGTTTTTACCTTACTTTCACTTGAAAAAATATACGGGTTTAAGGTGTGTCCTTTGAATATAAGGTTGTATCTTTTAGGATATATAAGTATCTCCTGCCGGTAATACATAGTTATAATATTAAAAATGTATTTTTTTTACTTTCTATATCAGCAGATAGCTTTTAAAAAGAGAAAAAAATACAACTTTAATATTATAATTATATACTACCGTAATATATAAACTGATAAAAGGACAAAAAAAATTCCAAAATATATTATGGAAAATAATTTTGTCCTTTTAAAAGACACAAGATTATATCATTTTAGCACTTATAATTATATATTACAAGTAGTATATATGTATAATATTAAAATTGTACTTTTTTTCTCTTTTCAAAATTGTTGTGAAAAGTAAAAAAATACAATTTTAATATTATAATTATGGGTTTTTCTTTTCTCATGTTACATATGATGTCATCTATCATGTCATAGATACAATAAGTGGTGGGGCCCACTACTTGTTAAAAAACAAAAAAAAAACAAAAAGGACAGCACGATTTTTGATGTCTCACAACATGAGAAAACTATCTTCTATTACATGAGAAAATAATTTCCCTATAATTATATGCTACCAATAATACATATTTATAACTATTAAAATGATAGTGGATAAACCCTTACGTTATTTATTGTATAAGATGTTGTACTCTCCCAGGCTTCTAGTACAGAAATTTGAGTTTTTTTCCTTTTCTTTTTATTCAGTTTAATGATGTTATACACAAATATAACTTTTTTTTTTCAATTCTCATCACAATCTTGTGTTATTTTTTATATTTTTCATTTTTCACTTTTCATTTTCCCTGCTTCTATTGGTTCACATGATTTTTTGTGATAGAGAGTAAACTCTGTCAATAACATTTCCACCGTTTCAAACCTTCATGGATTTAACTTTTTATAATTCTAGTGTATTGAATGAGATAAATTAAGTTCATTCTACTCTCATTCGTTTTTATTTTACTGTTTTTCACCTTCAAATATTTTTTGGCTTGGCTTGCATCAGCAAGTACATACATAGATCTAAACTTATCCTTGTTTAGGTAGACCACAATTTGTCCCTACACCCTTTTGAATATAAGATTAATCTAGCTAAGCCTAAGGTTCCACAAGGCTTGGTTTGAAGCGTTACGCTAAAGTTGCTTTGTCGTTTTACTAATGCTGCATGATTACGGAGTATACGACATTGTTGTTGGGGGAAATTTCTTTGGTAGGAGTACCAATTCAGTACTCCCTTTCATTAAAAAGAAAAATTATTTTTTTCTATTTTAACCCCTATTTTTTTGTATAATTTTTTTTAAGTCTCAATTTTATTTTATTTTATTTTATCTATATCTATTCCACCAAAGGTTTTTTCGTTGTTGGTTATAACGTTATAATGACCACTCTGTTGATTTTGAAAATGCAAGGTGCCGTTGTGGAGCTGCGATGCTACATCAACAAGCACAAATATGTCGTACCAGCCAAGACTGACAAGAACGGTTACTTCTTACTTCAAGTCCCAATAAGCATCACCACTTCTGGAGTTCACAACTGCAAAGTCTTTTTGGTAAGTGCACCTGGTGGCCTAAAACCCACTAATCTCAATGGTGGTGTCACTGGTGGTGTCCTCAGGGCAGAGAAGCCAGGTGTTGAACGGAAGAAGCTTCCTTATGTGCTCTACGATGTTGGACCTTTCGCATTTGAGCCCAAATGCCCTCGTTAAACAAATATGAATATAGATAATTCTATCTTAATTTATATTGACCTTTGTTGTTTTTAATCTTACGCCTTATTGTTTCCACTTTATTGTGTTTCCAGCTGTATTTCTGTGTTTGAAATAAATTGTACAATAAAGAGTGATAGTGTACGTGATAGATGGTTCTCGTAAGAATTAATTTTAGTATAGTAAAATGTTGTTTATGGCTTTTGTTCATCAATTTGCTGCCTAATTCTATTTGTTATTATTGTTTTCAGTCCTGAATCATGCAAGTTTCTATTAAAAAAAAAATAGATGTTATTTTCTTCGTGTTCAAAACTGAAGACCTTGTTTTCCGCAGAATCTACCGTGATATCAGATCGCATGCCCTTATTCTTGAAATGTGTATACATGGGTAGGCCTAACCAAATGATGATAACGCTATCGGTAAAAGTATATCTTCGATCCTTCCAGAATCGTTTTAAAACTTTAATCCCGTGATCCGCTTCAAGTTAGAATAAGTCGTAAAGCAATGTACCAAATATTAAAAAAAAAGACAACCTTAGCTTTAGTAGACCCCATTTATTGTCAACTATTTCTCAAGATCTTGGATTCTTAATTATATAATCTGTTAAGAATTTAGCGACGCATTAGTGGACCCCATTTGTTATGCCCTGTTTAGTTTAATTTTTGGTTAATCTTAACCACCCTTTTAACTAGAGGTGTGTATGTGTGTATGAGTCAGGTCGGGTCAGGTTTTTGTGCCGACTTAATTCAATTACTTGGTTTTTATAGGTCAAGTATTTTGACCGACCCGGATTAATTTGATCCAAGTCAAATCTGACTTGGTTTGAATTTTTTTGAACTAGTTCAGAACTGGATCGGATCTGACCTGACTTAGTTTCTGAAGTGGGTCAAATCCGACCTGACCCGTTTTTGACTTGGTTTCAAAACATGTTTTTAATTTGATTTTTTATAATTATTGATTTATTTTTTAAACTCGTGTAATTTAATTATTTATTTATTTTAAAATATATAAATTTTATAATAAATTTGATATTTATTGAATAAATAAAAGAATGTAATTTTAAGCCCCCTGCGCATGTGAATCAAAATTCGTGAAAATAAATGAAAAGTAAAGGACAAGAGAACGCTCTTCCCATCTTAAGATTACAAATCACTAATTTTAACAATGATATATTATAAAATTACATAATGTCTACTGATAGGAAATTCATAAATTCAAACCCAAATTATACAATTATTATTAGAGAAATATCAATTAGTTTAAGGCAACTCTTGGCTAATATGATTGTACATATATAATTTTAGTTATCAACTACAAAGAAAATAGAAAATGTAAAGGAATTAGATTGATAAACAGCGACATATTAATAGGTAGAATGGTTGTATAGAAACTTTTTCATTAAAGTAATATTTGTAACTCCACAAATGACTCAAATAAAATTTGGACAAAGAAGCAGTTGCTAATTTGCTGAGCTCAATCGGCAGCGAGCCTTCAAGATTATTATGCGAGACATTTATGAAAATTTTCAGTTATCATGCACATAAGTTTTACCATAAAAGCTACGATGTAAAAGTTATTAAAAAAAAAATGAAGGATAGCGAGAAAGGAAATCTACTACTTGTTATGATATGAAGGAGGCAATGTTGGAAGGATCAGAGAGGTAAATCCATAGTCAATAACAAAGACCATTACAGCAAAATATGGCATCAATCAGGTATTTAGGCATATCATACCATATGGGTTTAAATTAATCAAGAAGCTCGGGATTGAGCACAAGAAAAATCGAGAAGCATATGAGAGATCCTCTTTGGTGGAGTGCAAGAATGTGACAGAGAGAAGAGAGAATCATAATTGTGAATTTGTGATTTTTTTTTCACATAATGGGTGTGGGTCAAGTTTTGGGTCAATGTGTCATTATTAAAATAAGTCAGTTCTAAAATTGACCCAGATAATAGTGGGTCAGTATTTAAACCCAGTTCAAAATAAATAAATATTTATGGGTCAAATCAAGAGCAGAGCAAGTGAATCAGTTTTTTTCCACACCCCTACTTTTAACAACTATATATGACGGCATTTCGAACATTTTTTTTCCTTCAATCATGATGATCTGCAATGAATTCAAGCATTTATAAATCGTAAAGCATGTATGAGTAGAACTATATCTATTCGGTGTATGTTACATATTTTTTCTCAAAATACATATAAGAAAATAAAAACCCAACAATATAGGAAAAAAAATGAAAAGTATAAAAGAAAAAAGGTTATTATTGTTCGAGAGTGGACCTCTCATGTCTTATTTAACATGATATGGTCATATAAGAGAATCATAATCATACAAAGATGAATCAATGATGATAAGGAAAAATAAAGAAAATATATTGAAATACAAAATTATAAAATCATTACCATTAATTTATCATTATAATTCATCTAAATGACCATGTCATGTTAAATAAAACATGATGGAATTCATTTACTTATTCTTCCATATCAAACTTCCCAATATATATGTAGACCAGCTCCTTTTTCTTTACATTTAATCCCTCGTACCCATGCACACAAGCACAGATGCATCACACATTGGTGAAAGGACATTGGCTAGTGCATCATGTTGGGTTCATATGAGCATAGCGGTTTGGCATCGCACCAATTAGTGCAAGGGACTCTTCCCCTTTCTATAAAACTGTGAAAGAGCGACCTTCAATCATTTTCGTCTTCTCTACTAAATAACTTATTATTATTATGCGAAAGTCAAGTCTAAACCCAAAACCCCCACCACTGCTAAGCTACTCTCAAACACATCCAAAATCTACATTAGAGCTTTAATTCTCAATATCACAGTTCCATTGAACCTCTATTATACTATACCATTTAAGAAAAACAAATCAAATTAAATCTCCTTCTCCCAAATATATCAATTACTCACTTTAATATTATTCATTAAAAAAATTTTAAATATAACAAGATATATATATATATATATATATAGTTCGCTTTTTCTGCAGTCAATGTAGATAAGTTATCTACATTGAGCCCAAAACGACGTCGTTTTAGGACGAAAAATCAAGTTATTTTTGTAATTATAATTTATTTCAGGATTATAATATTCTTTCTCATTATTATTTTTTAATTTTTCAACCCAAAACGACGTCGTTTTGAGAGTGAATGTAGATAACTTATCTACATTCACTATAGAAACATTAAAGCCATATATATATAGTGCTTTATTAATATCATATTGTAGGAGAGAGTTCTCTCCTACCATAGACACAATCATATATAGGACTTACTCACTTATAAAAAATAAAAATTAAGCTACAAGAAAATCGATGGGTGTATAGGAAAGAGAGCTACTCTCTAATAACATGAGAGTTATTTTTCCCATATATATATATATATATATATATATATATATATATATATATATATATATATATAGGGAAAAATATTTCTCCGGCAACTTGAGATAAGTTTATCTCCGATCACCCCAAAACTACGTCATTTTATTTATTTATTTTCTTATATTAATTGATTCACCTTTGAATGGTTATGATTCCTTTTTTTTCTCTCTTTTTTTATCACCATTGATCCATCTTTGTACGGTTATGATTTAGTAACCGAAGATAAAATTATCTCAAACAGCTTGAGAAACGATAAGCCTATATATATATATATATATATATATATATATATATATATATACTATGTTGCATCGATATTGACATGAGACACGACACTCCGACACGTTAATTCTAAGAAATACTAGATTTTGACACATTAGAACAAATTTTGATATTAAATAATATTTTTAATTTATGAAGTGTATATTATATTTAATATTCAATAACTTAACAAAAAAATGAAGATAAACTTATAATACTCATCAATTTTGCAAAGAAATATAAGATATCCTAAATATTTATTTTAAACTCAATAAAACAGTAATCATGATCCAACGGATCTAATAGTTGGAACTAAAAACGCAATCCAACACAACCTTCGAACCCTTTTGAATCTCTACAACGTGTGTTGGAGTGACGGGGAGTGTCGAATTGTCGGACATGACACGTCAAGTTTTTTGAAGTGTCGGTGCATCATAGTATATATATAATATCGTAAAGCATAGAAAAGATGGTTAAACAGAAAGTTTGAATTAATAAAAGAGTTCATGCGATCTTTATCCAATCTTAATGGTGTAAGGTAGGATAATTTATGTAATGTAGCTTACCAAGTAATTACTAAATTGGTGGCAGGGAGACTTAAAGTGCATATGGATAATCTTATCATGCCCAACCAATGTAGTTTTGTGAAAGGTAGGCACAATTCGGATAATATTATTATTGCTCAAGAGATAATTCAGTCCATAAGAAGCAAGAAGGGGATTGATGGTTGGATGGTTATTAAGGTGGACCTAGAGAAAACTTATGATAGAATTGAGAACGATTTCCTCTCTAACACTCTGATGGATGTTGGGTCCACCAAAGTCTCTGCATCCTGATCATTAATTGTGTTTCCACTTCTTCCATGAATGTTCTTTGGGATTGTAAGCAAACATAGGACTTTAAGCCTTCTTAGGGGATTAGATAAGGAGACCCCTATCTCTTTACCTGTTTGTTTTGTGTATTGATGGCCATCTTATTTCGAAAGCTGTGAATCTGCATAGATGGAAGCCAATAATATTAAAGAAAAATGATCATCCTATCTCTCATTTGTCTTTCTGTAGATGACTTGTTATTATGTGCTGAAGCCTCCAACAACCAAGCAGAGCTAATTAACCAAATTCTTGATCACTTCTACTTGGCTTCTTATTAGAAGGTTAATAAAAGCAAAACTATAGTTTTCTTTTCTAAGAATGTCAATCACACAAGAAGGACTGATATTGGTCAAGTTCTAGGGTTTAGGCCAACTTGTGATGTGGGCAAATATCTTGGTATTCCTATTTTCCTTGGAAGAGTAAAGAAGAATAACTTCAATCATGTGATGGATAAAACTAGAAGCA